TTATTTATCTACATACACATTTTTGTATTTAAATTTACGATTAAGGGTGTATAAGTAGTCCTACTTCATCATACAACCATTTAAAAAGGTACATGAGATGAATGGTAAGTAATTATCGACGTCTACATAAATGAATATAAATGAAACCGAGGTAATGCTGATTTTGCAAGTATATGAATGTACTTACACTTTCAGCTACCAAATCTTTGCTCTGGATTCATAAGAATTGGGGACGCCAAAAACTAGCTAAAATTTCGGTACCTTTTTTCTATCTTTGCTTTTTTATGTTTCTCTTCTTTTATTTGTTTTGTCTTTTTTTTTAGAATATGAACAAAATAATCATATAAATATTAACCTACGTCATACAAAATATTACATTAAATTTTTACACTATAAATATTGTGTAAAAATTCAAAAAATATACATTTTTAAAACGCACACTGAGAATCAGTTTTAAAAGAAAACATTTTTTATTATACGAAAAGTTATGTAAATTTAAAATTTCCATTTAAATATTGATCTGCACATTTCACCCATGATTTTTTTTTGGATCGTTAGCTTTAAGGAAGAATATGTCAACAAAAGTTAATATTTATCAACATAACAAATAGACAGTATTTACATTAGTCGGACTATTGTCCTCATCTTTGTCGCCATATTTGTCACAACGTTTCGGCCGTTGTACGCTCCGGCCTTCTTCAGGTGGTTGGAATTTCGAACTGAACCCTTTATTTCGATCGCTGGGGTAGACTGTTCTAATTCCACGTGCTATGTTTGATGGATGTCAGTTATCAGTTATCTCCTGCTAATTTTCCCTCTGAAAGTTCTCCACTGCCTTAACCAGGAATTGAACTCACCTCCTTTGGGTGATATATAGACATAACAAATAGAACTTTTCTGATATGAACTCCTAGGTAAACTATTGATATGCGTCAGAAAATAAGGCTAAGAAAAAACAGAAAAAAAAATATTTTTGTACGATTAACAAACTTTCCCATTTTTAATGTTTGATATTTTCGCGCTTTTTAAACTAATCAAATTTTTATCCGACATTATATCGTTTTGCGAAAGTCAGATAGCTAGCAAAATTGTTAAGTGTGATACTATTTTATTTACAATAATCTTTTCGACAAGAATTGACAAAGTTATATTTTACGCTTATCTGAAGAACATGAAATTAAGCATTTTAAAAAAAAATTATTTATTTAATTTTTTTTTTTTTTAAGTTAAATATTGCCTAAATTTTAAATAAATAAATTAAAGTCCGGGTTTTCCACCGGACAATAACTCGTTAACTTTTAATTGTGAATGCATGAAAAAAAATCGATTAAAACCAGACTCTTTTGCATATTATAAGTTGTAATGGGTGGAAGTGTCTGAAAGCTTACAGACACGAAGATTTAGGAAATGATTACTGATTTTTTACTATTGAAAAAAAAACATAATAAAAGCGAGTGAAAATTACACAATAAGATAACCATTTTTGTATAAAATAATCTGATTTTTTAAAGATAATAAGACTTTAAGGGAAAACGAGTAAATTTTATACAGCTCGGAGAACATTTAACAGTTTTTTTTTTATTTTTTTTACTGGTTTCTATATCTGTCCTTTGTGTGTAGAGCAGAAATCACTGTATTTTCAATTACTAATACTTTTTTTTCTTTCAACAGCGTATTAGTAGAATAACTAAATATAACTGAATTACACCCAATTTCTAACATAATAGAGGTAATTTTTTTAACTGTTAAAATTTAAAAAAATATTTGTTGATGTTTAAAAACATTCTATTGAATTTCATCAATGATGTACTTCGCACTCTTCATTATTTTTATTAAGATGGGGATATATTTTCATTTGACATGTTAATGAATTTCTCTCTTAGATAGAAAACAGATTGTTCACGCCTAGAAATCTGTCGACCAGAAAATTATTGGTGGATAACGTATTGAAAACGAACAGATTTTGTAAATGAATTGCTCAGTATTATTAAGAAATAGAGCATTAATAGAAAATAAATCTTTGAACGTTTTTATTTATTTATAGAGAGAGAGAGAAAGAGTCAGTTCTCATCTTTTCGCATGTAACTGTTGTTCTTACAGGATTAATCAATAAAAACATGTACGCCGATAGACTAGAATAGACAAACTGATGAACATTTCAGTAATAGTGGGATGAATAGTCAGTTTAAAATAAATGGATAACATATTTAAGAATTTAGGCTCTGATAAAAACGCACTATTAAAAGCTGATGAAAGCTGAAATTTAACTAGATGCCTAGTGTACTAAAAAGTCCCAATAAGCAAAAACACATACACATCAGAAATGTTTTTCATTTGTAAGAAAAATTGATAAATTATTAATGTATTAAAGAAAAAAAATCACTACAAACTAAAAAACCTGAACGAAATGTAAGATTGTTTCACTCAGCAAGCTTGAATGAATGTTCAGTCCAAAACAATACCTGCTTTTACATGTATAAACCAACATTTTTTGCGATATACTTCAAACGATTAATGGCTACTACATTTTGAGAAGGAAAACTAATGCTATGATGTTTATCTGCCAGTCATTAATCTTACTAAAATTACCAAAATATCTTTTTATCCGTCTGTTTGTCCTCGCATAACTCAGGCGCAGCACCTATTTTCTATGCTTACAATTTGGACCTCAAAGTATCCTATTAGTATATTAGTTTTTAAGAATTTCGAAAAATTTCAGTCTTTAAAAATAAAAGTATAGACACAACGCTAAACTGGATCCTTATTTATCCGCTTATCTAAGCCGAATCTTTTTGTTCAAATATATAAAGTAGGCATCAAACTGAAAATTTCCTCGCCAGAAACTGTCAATGATTTTTCGATGACTTTTCCTATGATTTTTTCTAAATACTTATCAAGACTTAAAAAGGATGTACTGTTGTGTATTACAAGCAGTGGCCACTAGAGGGCCATAAACGTTAACCTCCCAATTATGTTTATTATGTTATCATTTGCTATCTTCTCACAAAATACAGTTCATTCTCAAGCCGCTGTTGATTTCTGGAATAAAAAGTGGAATGGATAAATTTAAGGTCAATTTAGGCAGCCAACTTCATGTCAGGCAAAAAAAAAATGAGGATTGCATGAAAAATGTTGCCTATCCAGAAGTCCGCTCCCGAATATGAAATAAAAATCCCAGAGTGTTATTTCATAAAATATATTTTAAAGTAGATTTTAATATTTCCATATTTCAAATAAAGATGTTCAGTAAAAGTTTCAGATTTTCATAAAATGTAAGTAGTTTAAAACTTTTGCGAATTTACTCTAGATATATAAATGAGATCCAAGAGTTTATGTTGGTGAATAATTTAAGATAAGACGTGATTCAATACATCGTTTAATTCCATGATTTTTCATTCAAGATAAAATCCCATTTAGGAACTAACTTAAATTCCAGCCCAGGTTCTATTATTTAAAATCTACAACGCTTTGTATAATTTCTTAAATAAAATTCTGTTCGCGGTAAACCGAAATTGATTTCAAATCAAAGAAAAAGAAACCTGTAGATAATATTTAACAAACAGGAATTGTAGCTGATTTTTAAATATTTTGATTACACATTCTGAAGAACAAGTTAATAAAAACAAATTATCTACATTTCACTTATTTCATTTATCTTAACTGTAAACAATCAGCATGGATTTCGATAGAAATGCAATGATGCAACTTTTCTAGTATTCCTATTTTACACCATCTTTTATTTATAAATTCATAACATCATTTTTCAGTTATCAAAGTTTTTCCTTCTCTCTAACGTACCTTATGTAACCTTTCATTTCACGATTTCGGTATTGATCCATGAAATTTTTCGATATGTTCAACTTATTGGAAGAGCTGACCAAACAACAACTGTAGCATGAAGCGAAAGGATAGATGTTGTCATGAGGCAAAATAGCTAATCGACTTCGTTACACAGAAAAATATTGTTTTCTCTTCCAATATGTCATTCAAACGAGCCAATTACTCACTGCATCATTAGCGCAATAACCGTATACCCAGATTCCAGCAATTCGTAATAAAGAATTCACTTTGGATTCCATTAAACAAAGAAAATCATTTTTTCTTTATTAGATACTGTTTAAGTTGAAATATTCTAGGATCTACAGCTCCGACATTTTGTTGTAGATCTTTATAATAAATAAATTTTTTATTCTTAGTGACACTCATGTCTAAAATAAAATTTCCTGGCTGGCGCAAAAAATAAAAACAATTATGCAAAAGATGACACTGAGAACGTTTGCAGCAACGCAATACCTTTATTCTTCAAACTTCAAAAATAATGGAGTTGCTTTCGTCTCTAGCTTTATAGATGGTCAATCCGACAGTCTTAGCTGTTGTCCCTGTTGCTTAACTGCTAGCAAGTGGTACAAAAAGAAAATTTGCCGCCCAAATATACACACACACACACACACACACACACACACACACACACACACACCGTGTCACTTGGGACATCTTCTGGGGGTAAAGTTGATTTAATAGGGAAAAGTGTTTGCTTTCTCTGGTGTCTAATTTTAGTAGTTTCAAAGTTATATTTTGAATGTAAATCTTTTAGAATCTGATGTACACAACGTCATACTTTGCTTTTAAATAGTTTCATACTAGTACTATTTTTTTTTATTTTTAGCTGGAAAAATCAAACACCAATCCCCTAGTGAAATATGAAGATGGTCACAGTGGATGAAAGTATTGAGATAAATCATATCGGGAAATACATTTAATCTTCAATCTTAAACTACCAGTAAAGTATTTCAAATGCTGATTTTCAAATGAGCCCCTTGAATAGTGCAACACCATGTTCGCCATTCCATGTGGCTATGTGACAGAAGCATTAATCTAGTCATGTTTAATTGCGCATGCGCAACTCCCCATTAAATCATTTTGACAAATCCCATTGACGCATTTATCACATATACATAAATCTAAAATAGTTACAATAGATATGGAATAGTGTCACTTACCTGAATTTCATCTTCGGACAGATTTAGGTCTTCTACCATTTTTTTCAACTCGTTGTAGGAAATCTTTCCACTGCCATCCGTGTCAGCCGACTTGAACTTCCTCTTCAGTTGTTCCAAAGCTTCGTTCATTTCTGCCACTTGAGCTGGTCCAGTCGCCATTTGTAAAAATTTTTCTTGTCACTTGATGATATATACTTAAAACCTTTTTTTTCTTTCTTTAATTATTTCTATCTATCTATCTATCTTAGCTTTTACTGGTTCAGAATCTTTGTATAAAGAACGAACTGAGTTGAACAACAGCAAGCTTTATTTCTCACCGCTGTTGCTGTAATAAGTTAGGAAGTTGATATAAATAAAACGAAAAGTTGCTCACACCGCAAGTGCCCGTTCACTTGGTGATATGCATGACTTGCACACGATTACTTTTAACTGTCAAACGTCACTTTAAAACTTAGTCAGTTATTCCTATTAGTGCTAATAATGTGAAATAACTACCAGATTTATTAGTACAAAGAATCAATTTAATGAATTGTACTTTAATAATAGTTAAATTAAATTTCTACTTTAAATGCTATTTTTAAATCCTCGTAATATTGAGGTGAAATTCTCTGTTTGCTAACGTCACCGATAGAAAATTAACTGAGTTTAGCCTCTGTCTTCTTTTTCTATTTCTCTATCTATTCAATGTGTTTAGTGAATATTTCTGTATCAGAGACATTCAATTCAAATAAAAAAAATTCTACCAGTTTTCCTTGAAGACGTCTGATGATATATTTATTTTAATTTAATAAGAAAATTAGACAAACGTATTTTTCTTATTGGGGCGCCTTTTATTTCTACACCCCCCCCCCACGATTTGTGATTTTACAGCTGAAGAATTATGCCAGTTCGTTTTTATTTCTACATGCTGCTTCCAATTTTTTAATTACCAGCAAAATTCATTTTCTTCAAGCATTAAAACACAACTTTTTACTCATTTTGTGCGAATTTCTACTCAACAAAATGTAGTCGTTTTAATCTTTGGTATTATTCATACATTGTGGATATCGCGGATTTTACAAATACAATTCTGATCGCTAATTACTATTTTTTAAATATGACTATAGGTGACAAAGTTGGATTTAATATATTAATATGTGCGCATGAAGCATTTAGCCTCGTATATGTGTTTCATCATAATTTTATGAATATGTAAAACCCGAATGGTAACAATGTAATAATAATAATAATAATAATAATAATATATTATTATTATTATTATTAATATTATTGTTATTATTATTATGCGTTTTTATAAATTTTAGTAATTAGAATTTTAATATACATTTGCTTATTTTATTAGAAAAGCCGTCGTATACATGGATTATTTTATTTTTAAAATAAGTGTTATTTACCACGTTTAACTTATTGAGAATATATTGTCGCACTAAGAAGAACATTTAACATTGTATTTGTCAAATTACTTATGACAAGAGGAGAGTTCTACTCTTTAAGCGTAATATTTCTCTTTTTTTATGAAACAGAGCGTAAATTATGAAATTGTAGGAAAAACATTTCGAATCTTACCAATATGACCAATGATAATCACATACCCCTTACACTTACCAAAAAAACAATGACAATTCTATGCCGCTCACCCACTTCACAAAAAGACCAAAGATAATTTTATACGCTTCACACCCTTACAAATAACACCAATGACAATTCTTTACCTCTTAACCTCTTACCAATAAGACTAATGATAATTCTGTCCTCCTTACGCGAATACCAATCCTTACCCCGTTACCTAGAAGACCAATGATAAATCTCTGCCCCTTGCACCTTACCAATAAGACCAATGACAATTCTATGCCTCTTAGCCCCTTACTAGTAAGACCAATCACAATTGTATGTTCCTTACCCACTTACCAAATGGAACAATTATAATCCTATGCCCGTTACCCACTTACGAAAAAGATCAATACCAATTCTATGCCTCTTACCACTTACCAAAAACAACAATGATAATTCTATGCCCCTCGCCCGCTTACCAATAAGACCAATGACAATTCGATGCCCCATACCCCATTACTAATCTACCCAATGACAATTCTATGCACCTTACTTATAAGACCAATGACCCATTACCCCTTTACCAAAAGGACCAATTATCATTCTATGCCCCTTATGAAAAAGAACAATGACAATTCTATGCCCCACACCCCCATATCAATAAAACCCATGACAATTCTATGCTCCGTACCCCAATACCAATAAAACCAATGACAATTCTATGCCACTTACCACCTTATCAAAAAAGAACAATGATAATTCTATACCCCTTAAACCCTTACCAAAAAAACCATAACAATTCTATGCCCCTTACCAAAAAAAAACAATGATAATTCTATACCCAACACCCCCTTACCAATGAGACCAAAGACAATTCTATGTCACTTACCAAATTACCAAAAAGCACAATGATAATTCTATGCCCATTACCTCCTGACCAATAAGACCAATGACAATTCTGTGACCTTTAAACCTTTACTAATAAGACCAATGATATTTGTATACCTCTTATATTCTTACCAAAAAGACCAATAACAATTCTATACCCCACATCCCCATATCAATAAAATTCATGACAATTCTATGCTCCTTAACCCAATACCAATGAAACCAATGACAATTTTATGCCACTTACCATGTAACCAAAAAGAGCAATGATAATTCTATACCCCTTAAATCCTTACCAGAAAAAACAATTACAATTCTATGCCCCTTACCACGTTACCAAAAAAATAATGATAATTCTATACCCAGCAACTCCTTACTAATAAGACCAATGACAATTCTATGACCCTTAAATCTTTACTAATAAGCCCATAATATGTGAATGCCTCTTATATCCTTACCAGAAAGACCAATAACAATTATATGCCACTTACCAAATTACCAAAAAAGGAGAATGATAATTCTATGCCACTTAAACCTTTACCAAAGACACCAATGACAATTCAATGCCGTTTGCATCCTTACCAAAGAGACCAATAATAATTCTACTATGCCCCTTACCACCTTATCAAAAAGAAAAATGGTACTGCCTCTTACCCACTTACCAATAAGACAAATGAAAATTACATGCCCCTAACATCATTACCACTAAGAACAATGACACTTCTATGGCCCTTACCTCCTTAGCAATTCTATGACTCTTACCACATTACCAAAAAAAAAAACTAATAATTCACACCCCTTACCGTACGTACCAATCTGACCAATGAGAATTCTATGTCCCTTAGACCCTTACCAAATAGACGAATGTCAATTCTATGCCCCTCACCCTATTAGCCATGACACCAATGAAAATTCTATGACCCTTAGACCCTTGCCAAAGAGACCAATGATAAATCTCTGCCCCTTGCATCTTACCAATAAGACCAATGACAATTCTATGCCACTTAACACGATACCAAAATGACAAATGATATTTCTCTGCCCCTTACCCGTTACCAGTAAGACCAATGACAATTGTATGTCACTTAACCCTTACCAAAAAGACAAATGACAATTCCATGAGTCTAACCCCTTTATCAATAAGACCAATGAAAATTCTCTGCCCCTTAACCAATTACCAATAAAACCAATGACAATTCTATGCTTCTTAACTCATTACAAATAAGACCAATTCTATGCAACCTAACCCTTACCAATAAGACCCATGGTAATTCTATGCCCCTTAACCAATTACCAAAATGACAAATGACAATTCTATGCTCCTCCAACTTACCAATACAACCAATGACAATTCTCTGTTCCTTACCCCTTAACAATAAGACTAATGACAATTCTATGCCCCTTACCCCCTTACCAATAAGAACAATGACAATTTAAGTCCCTTAACTCATTACCAATAAGACCAATGAAAATTCTATGCCCCTTAACCCGTTACCAAGAAACCAATCAAATTTTATGCCCCTTATCAGCTTACCAATAAGACTATTGACAATTCTATGTCCTTTATCTTCTTACCTATAAGATCAATGACAATCTTATCCTCCTTAATCCTTATCCATAACACCAATGACCATTCTATGTTCCTTAAGCATTTAACAAAATGAAAAAGGACAATTCTTTGCCCCTCCCCATTACCAATAAGTCAAATAATAATTCTCTGTCCCTTACACCTTAACATTAAGACCAATGCCCCTCCCCACTTACCAAAAATGCCCATGTAAATGCTATGCTCCTTGCCCCTTACCGCTTTACCAAAAAGACCAATAACTATTCTATACCCCCTACCACATTACCAAAAAGAACAATGATAATTCAATTCTCCTTACCCTTTACCCATAACACCAATGACAATTTAATGCCCTTATTTCCTTACCAAAAGACAAATGACATTTCTATGCCCCTCATACTCATCCATGAGACCGATGACAATCCTATGCCACTTACCACACTACCAGTAAGAGCAATGACAATTCTGTGCTCCTTACCCACAAAAACAATGGCAATTCTATGCCAATAGCCCTTAACAAAAAGACTAATGACAATGCTATGCTCCTTGCCCCAATACCAAAAAGACCAATGACAATTCTATGACCCTTAAGAATAATGATATTTCTCTTCTCCTTACCACTTTACCGATGTACAATGACTATTCAATGCCCCTTATTCCCTTACCTATAAGACCAGACAATTCTATGGCCCTTACCCGACTACCAATGAGACCAATGACAATTCTATGCGCCTTACCACAATACCAATAAACCCAGTGACAATTCTATGTCACTTACCACCTTAACAAAAACGTTCAATGATAATTCTTTGTCCCTCCTTACCAAAGAGAATAATAGCAATTCTATGCCCTTTACCACCTTACAAAAAATACACTGATAATTCTAAGCTCCTCCCCACTTACCAATGAGACCAATGATAATTCTAAGCTCTTTACTCCCTTACCAAAAATGCCCCTTACCACCTTACGAAAAAGGAAAAATGATAATTCTAAGCCCCTTACCCATTTACCGATAAGACCAATTGAGATTCTATACCCCTAAACCCATTAACAAAAAGACCAATAAAAATTCTATGTCCCTTAGCATAAGATCAATGACAATTCTATGCCACTTAACACTTAC